TAATCATTAGTTTTATTATCATAAACATAATTAAGGTCTAGAGTCATTCAAAGCAAAAGGATTTTAGTCTAAAGTCCTAGATCAGTTAAAAGTCCCAAATGTGTTTCAGCTCTGACTCTGAACCAGTTCAGTAGAATCATCCATATAAATATATGAATGTGTTACTGAATCTGTGCTAAACTGTAGTTCGACTACATTAGCACAATAAAGATGTTTTAAATCTCTCTCTCTCTCTCTCTCTCTCTCTCTCTCTCTTTCTCTCTCTCCCTCTCTCTCTCTGTGGTCATTCCAGAGGATCCTCCCTCATTCCTGTTGTTTCTGAGCGTACTTTGCCAAACTCCTGGTTAGCTGTGAAACACCAGGCCTGAACTGATGGTGAGAGAATGTGTGCTGTCTTTTTTCTTTGGAGAGGGCTTTGACCTCTTTGGTATTTCTCCTCTAAACTAAAAACCGTTGTGTGTGAGTCAGTCTCTGCTCTGATACCATGTTCTGCTCTAAAGTTACTTTAGTTTTGGTTATTCTTTCACCTTCGAGGCATTTGCATGCTAAATAAAATACATATATAAATATATATATATCACATTTAATCAATGCAAATGAATGAAAAATTAAAAGTACATCCATCGTTGTTTGCTAAGTGTGCTGAAGGATGTCACTTGCAAACAAACGCATTTCATGCGACCTAAAAAGTGTTATTTAACAGTCTGAGTGAAATTTTGGCTTTTAAAAATGTGCGACAGGCACAGTACATGTTGTTTATGTACTTAAAAACTGAAGAAAGACATCTTATCTTTATTTATGTCAGCCAAAAGCCCCAGAGGTCAGTGATGATAAAAGCAGAACTCAAGCTGCGTGTGTTTCGGCATGTTTCACAACCAGCATTGAAATTTATACTTTGGCGCCATCTGCAGTTCAAAAGCATATAAAACAGCTCTTATTGGAACCTAATGTCTCTTTTAATCTCAATCTCTGTGACACAGGGCCCGAATCCAGGAGCACAACCAAAAGGAGGCTAGCGCCACCACAACGTGAAGCTTGCCCATCCCAGTTATACAAATTGAGACAGTCGGCCATCATCAATAAAACAGCCACCAGAGAAAAGTTGCTCTTCTTGACGTGTGAACCGTCACGCCTACAGTGAAAATCTGTCATGAGCTATTGATCAACTGTAAGAGTCTGATCACACTACACTCAGGAATCAGAGAGGCTAATAGACAAGACCACCTTTCTGGAGTCCAAGACAAGTTCAACACCATGACTAGTCATGATGAGTCAAGAGCGAGTCTAAAGGGGGCAGATTCATGAGAGTAAAACCGGGACGAGACAGAGTCCAAATGAAAGCAAGGGTGAATCAAATCTGGGTGTAAATGACTGCAAGACTGAGTTCAAATGAGAATGAACCAAGACCGAGGTTAAATTAGAGCAAGATTGAGTACAAATGAGAGAGAGACAAGTCAAGTCAAGACTGAGTTCGAATGAGAGTGAGAATGGATCAAGTCTGAGTCCAAATAAGAGTGAGACTGAGTCCAAATAAGAGTAAGACCGAGTCCAAATAAGAGTAAGACCGAGTCCAAATGAGAGTGAGACTGAGTCAAATCTGAGTCCAAATGAGATTGGGACTGGGTCAAGACTGAGTCCAAATGAGAGCAAGACCTAGTCAAGACAGAGTCCAAATAAGAGCGAGACCACATCAAGACTGAGTCCAAAGGAGAGTGAGACCGGATCAAGACTGAGTCCAAATAAGAGAAAGACAGAGTCAAGACTCAGTCCAAATGAGAATGAGACTGAGTCAAGACGGAGTCCAAATGAGAATGAGACAGAGTCAAGACTTAATCCAAATAAGTCTGGGCCTACACTGCACAATTTTTTGCCCAATTTTAACCTTTTTAAAGGTGCCCTTGGTGTAGGGAAAACTTGGGCAGCTTGTGATGTAGTGCCATCTAGTGGTTACTATGTGATGTACGCTGTAGCTGTAGTAAGTACTACTGGGCTGTCCTACAAGGCACAGTGTATGATTCTGAAGAATGTTTGTTGATTTTTGAACTTAACGGCAAAACAAACACACCCCTCCCTTCAGTGGTCCTTCAGAAGCTCCGCCTCCCAAATTCATGGACGCGCATTGCCGAGGCGAACATCTTTTAGATCTTAGTGGCCATAAAACTCTTTGCAAACGTTGTACAGACACATGCCATGATATAATGTTTTAGTTGACAATGACACTTTTTACATTGAAAATAGTTGTTTGCTGCTTTATTAATGTTTAAAATTGTGCATATAGAACCTTTAATCAAAACACAATTAACTACAAAATACATTTTCTAGATTTGATGCACCTAAAATAAAATGTTATAAGAAACAGACAGAATCAAATTATGATGAAAGTGAAGACTTATTTTATCTCTCTGTTCAAATGTATTTATAAGGACAAACTAACAGATGACAATTTATCAGACCACAGCTGTCTGTTCAGTCCTTGTAGAGCTAAAATAATTTTATTCAGGAAGATTTTTACAGTGAACTCCTGGGTATTACTGTCCACAAACACTGTACAGGACGTAGCTTAAAGAGAAATATTTGTTTATGTTGCCACCTAGTGGTTACTGGTGGTGTTGCCACATGAGGTGACCAGAAAAAAACAAAAACAACAAAAAAAAAAACAATTTGTTTAATTCAATGTGTCAATGTCAAAGTGAGCTAGCTGATTAATTTGCACACTGCAATGTGGCGACTGTCTAGTCAGTTAGCTGTTAATTTACCGATTAAACAGGTCACCTCAGCCATCGTCGCAACAATTGCGCCCCCTGGGTGATTTGGCAGGAACCACCACTGGTTTTAAAAGTTATGTACTAGTTTCTATCTTTCAATTAATTGTGTTTTCTTAGACTAATCATGAATTTGTCTTTTATGCCTTAATTAGTCAGGATATCTTAAAATCACATGCTAGAAATTATATACGGTGGCGCAGTAAGTAGCGCTGTTGCCTCACAGCAAAATTGGCCTGGGTTCGATTCCCGGCCAGGTGACCAGGGTCATTTCTGTGTGGAGTTTGCATGTTCTCCCCGTGTCTGTGTGGGTTTCCTCCCACAGTCCAAAAACATGCAGTCAGGCTGTTTGGATGTGCTAAAATTGCCACTAGGTGTGTGTGTGTGATTGTGTCTGTCTGCCCTGTGATGGACTGGTGACCTGTGCAGGGTGTATCCTGTCTTCTGCCCAATGACAGCTGGGATAGGCTCCAGCACCCCACCATGACCCAGAAGGCTAAGTGGGTTAGAAGATGTGTGTGTGTATATATATATATATACATATATATATATATTCAATGGTCCAAAAAGCTTCACCTACCAGGAGAGTAAAGGCTGCTGATTTTCACTGCTCTTACAATTTTAATGTCACTTTATCTTTCTGTCTGTTTGTCATTCAGTTGTTTGTTCTGGTGCTCCTGTATCAGCTAGAACATCCAGTTCGTCTTCAGTTTCCTCTGCTAAGGTTCTTCATTCTTTATTATCGGTTCAGTTTTATTTCATTCAGAAATATTTTTCTCTCTGATGTTCATACAGTAATAATGTTCTTCAATGGTGCAATGTCTCTCTCTCTCTCTATTCTCTCTGTCTATATCTGTATGTATCTGCTCTCTCTCTCCGTATACTCTCTGTCTGTATCTCTCTATGTATCTGCTCTCTCTCTCCCTCTCTCTGTCTTTTTGTATCTACTCTCTCTCTACTCTCTCAGTCTATCTCTATCTACTCTCTGTTTCTCTATCTCTGTACTCTGTCTATCTCTCTGAGTCTATCTCTCTCTATGTATCTACTCTCTCTCTCTCTCTCTCTCTCTCTCTATTCTCTTTGTCTATCTCTCTCTATGTATCTACTCTCTCTTTCTCTCTCTCTCTCTCTGTTCACTGTTCTTTAAAGACAATGGTCTATATAGAACAATGAATACGCAAAGAACCCTTTGCATGATGAAAAGGACTGGCGGCCTTTCTGTGGAGGTTGGACGTTCTCCCCATGTCTGCGTGGGTTTCCTCCCACAGTCCAAAGACATGCAGTCAGGCCAATTGGACATGCTAAATTGCCCCTAGGTGTGAGTGTGTGAGTGATTTTATATGTCTGTGTGTCTGCACTGTGATGGACTGGCAACCTGTCCACACTCCTCAGAAAGGACCCTGTGTTCTCTGTGGAGTCTGGACAGGTCGCCAGTCCATAACATCCAAACTCCACAGAAAGAACCCTGGTCGCCCGGCTGGGAATCAAACCCAGACCCTTCTTGCTACACATCATGCCACCCTACAAAAATATAGTAAAGTACCTATGTGTGGATTATAACCCGAATGACAGCTCCTGGTTAGCAGTTTATATAAAATAAGAAGTCAGTCAATCAACGTTTATTTCAACTTGGCAGTACATTGAGGGAGACCCTAATTTACAGTGTAGCCAAGCAAGTTAAACAGGCACTGAAAAAGTTAAGATGAAGTTTATCAAATAAACAAATGAAAATCATCCAGACAAGAAGAATTTTTATAGAAATAAAAATAGCAGCTCAAGTAAGAAACAGGCATAAAATAGCAATAGACTACATAATGAAAACACATTAAAAGTAAGTAAAAAAACCCAACTAAGACAATAAGAAATAACTAAAAGTCTTAGAAATGCAATTATGTATTAAAAAAGAACACTAAAAGAATTAACATAAAATAAAACATTTGCAATAAAATTAGTGAGTTAAAATCAAATAAAAAGAAAGAAATATTACAGAAATTACAGATGACAGAGGAATAAAGAATAAATTAATGTAGTAGCCATAACAGGTCTTTTCCTGAGTTACATAATGTTCTTCTGCTTGGTTGTTTTGCACTGGTTTTAAGGTCTGTCACAAAAAGAAAAGCGTTTCAAATCTCGTTTTGTGGAATAAATGAATTCTATTTTGAGGCTTTTTTACAGACTTGTTGATGAGGGAATAAACCCGCCCCAGGAGAGGGATAAAAGCCCTTCAGTTCAGTCAGGATGATGCAGAACTGCTGGTTTAGAACTCTTGATATTCCGATGGCAGACTTAATTAGAGACGAGCCCGTGTCCGTTTCTTTCTCTGGCTCAGGGTATTTGGCCACCTATCAGCTGGGGGTGGTCCAGGGCCTTCGGGATAACGCACCGTGGGTTCTTCTCCGAGCACCCAGATTCTACGGAGCCTCTGCGGGGTCACTGGTGGCGGCAGCAGTGGCGTGTGGAGCTGATATAGGTATTGCAGTTAACCTCTACGGGGGGTTTCTGGGATTTAAAGAAGTATTTTACCATTTTTTAACCTAATCTTTATCTGTAGAGTAACCACAGACCATAACTTTAACACGTTTTTCTAAACTTAGAAAAAAAAGCATACATATTATTTCTGCCATTTATTCTGCTCTAATATGATCTCTCAACACTGTTGCTGCATTTATTAATGTATAAGAAATGTGATCTAACAAAGCCAAACATTTGTAGATTTTTTCAGTTTTATATCACAAACTACCCTTTTAAACATTGTGTGAATAAGAAGTCGAAAATATGTAAGCAAATGCTTTTATAAAGAATTTGTCCATGAATTCCTTGTGCAGAGGTTCTTGTAAATGAAGCTATTAAGATTTAAACAGTTAAGATGTAAGCAGTTGTTCAGAGTGCTTTGGTGTGAAACACTTTGTTCTAGAGAAACTTACAGAGTCAGAATTGTTTACAGTGGTGGTGATAGGAACCAGATGTCCACCTCTAAAAGCTCCCTCACAGAAAGTTATTACATGAAATGGTAATGAATTCGCTGCCTGATGTCTGAGACACTGTTTTACATTAGTTTTGAGAAGGTTTTGGTCTTCCATTCATCCATTTATGGTGAAAGGATACATAATATGCAGAGCGTTGAGAGGCAAAATAAAAAGAAAACTCATTATTTCAGATTTTCCACTATTTTTACATCTTTAACATTCTATATAAAATCCAGAAGACACGTGTAGGTTCACTGGTGGTTTTGGATAGTAAATAAGTGTCTATATTTGTGTTGTAGTCATGGTGACCCCTGGTTCCTATCACCACCACTGTAAAGAAATCTGAATCTCTAGAGTGAAACATTTCACACATTAAATTATGTAGAACCTTTGAAACATCAGAAAAAAAATTCCCCTTTGAGATTTTCCTGTATCCATGACCATCAGGCAGAGTGTGTGAAAACTCCACCCACACCTCTACTCCAGGATTACCACAAATTCTTCCCTCTGGAAAAAACAATCCATCTCTGAAAGAAGCAATGCTACAGATTTACATTAAGTATTTATTAATTTAGAAATATAAATTAATTCTATTACATTTTATCTAAAGTATAATTAAAGTGAGGTATTCTGGACAAAAACAGAATTAAAGTGGGGTATTCTGGACTAAAACAGAATTAAAGTGGGGTATTCTGGTCTAAAACAGAATTAAAATGGGCTATTCTGGACTTAACCAGAATTAAAGCAGGCTATTCTGGACTAAAACAGAATTAGAGTGGGTATTCTGGACTAAAACAGAATTAAAGTGGGGTAATCTGGTCTAACACAGAATTAAAGTGGGGTATTCTGGACTAAAACAGAATTAAAGTGGGGTATTCTGGACTGAAACAGAATTAAAGTGGGATATTCTGGACTAAAACGGGATTAAAGTGTTGTATTCTAGACTAAAACAGGACTAAAACAAGTGAGGTTGTTCTCCATGTTGTCTACAGGTCATGTGAGGGAGGAGATTTTGGCGCTGACCTGTGGACATGCTTTTGGATTTCCGCAGTTTAACAAGTTGGAGCGTGCACTTAGGCGCACGCTGCCCAAAAATGCCCATCAGCTGGCCAGCGGGAGGCTGCATGTGTCCATGACCCGCATCCCGGATGGACACAATATCCTGGTGTCGGAATTTCACTCAAGGGAGGACCTGATACGGGTATGAAAGAGATTAACATTGAACACAAGCATAATGTATGCATTTCTAATAAAGTGTCCAGTGAGTGGAAGCACAATGTGGGTGTTTCTAATAAAGTGGCCAGTGAGTGGAAGCACAGGGTAGGTGTTTCTAATAAAGTGGCCAGTGAGTTTTTCTATGTCATTTGTTCTTCTACCAGTAAGTAAGCCTTCTTAATGAGTTGATATTGTGACGTTCCTCTCTCTGTGCTTTGGAAGGCTCTTCTGTGCAGCTGTTTTGTCCCGGTGTTCTGTGGGATGATTCCGCCTTGCTATAAAGGAGTGGTAGGTGAAGCATCCATTCTACATTTTGCCTTGCAATATCAACATTACTTTATTACCATGAAATAAATTTATTAATATTACTACCATGTAAATTAATCCAAACTTTATATATTCATATCTGGTGTCAAACAAATAATTGGAGGTCAGGTTTTCTTTCTGACCATACTACTAGGACAGCAATGGTTTGTGTTCTGAATGATCTCAGGCTGATGCACAAAATCTTAGTGCAGCCTTTGATACTGTTGATCACAAGATTCTAATCCGCCACTTCAAATTCTGGGTCGGCGTCTCATGCACAATTTTAGAATGATTTAAATCATATTTAATAAGTAAACAGTTTGTGGTTTCACCAGGAAATTGTAAAAAAAAAAAAGTTAACATTTCTTGTGGAGTCCTGCAGGGCCTTTGCTTTTCTCTTTGTACATTACTGTGACGTGATGTCATCAGGAAACATTCTATCAATTTTCATAGCTATGCTGATGACACGCAATTATATAATTTCCATTCCTTCTGATAATCAAGACTCTGTTGATAGAACGACCAACTGTGGGTCAGATATTTCTCTACTGATGGCAAAATTGTCTATAATTAAATCAAGAGAATAATGGAATTCTGATTCTTGGTGGTAAAATTTAGAGGAACCTGCTTTGTGAGAAACTACACTCTTTTTCTTTGTTCACCAAACCTGTAATTTTTGAATGAGAACTGTTTTATCCTGCATGTAAATGCAGTCACTAAAGTACTTTTCTGTCATTTGAGAAACATTGTTCCTGTGTCTGTTATTATGCTTTTAATCTGTGGACCGCATTTACTTCTTTTATTAGGCAGTAAAGCTGGGTACATGCATTTAAGAAATATTTAAAAACACATCTCTTTACTTTAGCCAAGTTTTGCCTTTCCTTTTAAATGTATTGTCTTAGATTATTAGTGACTGTGCACTGCATAGCACGATTAACACTACTGTTAACAGATTTATATTACCATGGTGGAGATACTGTAGGAACCAGTCAGCAACACCTTAGCAATAACCTGGAATACCACAGTTTACACCTAACAAAACCCTAGCAACCATCAGAAATACCATAGCAACCAGTTATCAACACCCTAGCAACCACACAGGATAACATATTTAGTAACACACCAGCAGCCACCTGGAATACCATTGCAACCATCTAGCAACTTGCTTGGAACTCCCAGGGATATCATGGCAACCACCTAGCAACACCCTAACAACCATAAGGGATGCCATTGTAACCTCATAATAATGCCCTAGCAGTCGCCTACAGTACCATAGCAACCACATACCAAAATCCCCAAAAATTACATATACACAATTGTAACCACCTAGCTATACCCTGTCAGTCAAATCCAGTACCATAGCACCCGCCGAACAACACTCTAGCAACCACTTGAAACACTATAGCAATGACCTAGTAACACTCTAGCAACCATTTTGGATACCTTAGCAACAACCTAGCAACCATTTATAATACCACAGCAACCACTTAGGAACAACCTCACAACAGTCCAAATAACCATAGCAACCGTCTATTGACACTTGGACCACCTTGATTATTGTCCTACATACAAGCTCTAACCAGTTTTTATCTCCTCAAACAGATTTTAAATGCACACAGACTTTTATTTTAGAAAATAAACTAAGACAAATATTACAAATAAATGACTAGACCTAATGCAGAATGATTTATGGTAAATGTTATTGCTGACACTGTAAGATTAAAATTTTGTACTAAACTAAATTACAAAGTATAAATAAAGAAAAGAAGGAAGGAAAACAAAAGTAATTTGGACTGGAAAATGAGCGATGATAAGTGGAATTTTGTCTATGACTCTGCTTAAACACCGGTGGGCCGCCCAGAAAACGCTGAGCAAAGCGCCAGTGGACCAGCAGCTTTGCCATCAGTGGGCCAACAGTGGTCCACTATCCTCTTGCTATCAGGGTTTCTTTTTACTGTTACTTATCTTTAACACCAGCTTGAAACTGTAACTGTACCAGCTCCTAACTGTATGAAACATACTCTCCAAGTTTATTTTTATTATTATTATTATTATTATTATTATTATTATTATTTTTATTATGATTAGAGTGTCTAGTAGTTAATGTTTCATCTGTAATTGTGTTGTTCGTGTTCCAGCACTACATGGATGGTGGTCTGACTAACATCCAGCCCATTCAGGACTCCTGCCCCACATTGACTGTTTCTCCTTTTGCCGGAGATGTGGACATCTGTCCATCTGACAAATCCACCATCTTCTGCAACCTGGTTGTCAACCAACTGTCTGTCCAGGCCACCCTGCCCAACTTCATCAGAGTGGCCAATGCGCTGTTCCCTCGCGACTGGGAGGTGAGATTGCAGTGAGAGGGAAACATCACAATAAATGACTTTGCCTAAACGTAATGATGGTTCATTTTGGAAAAAAAGGTCTCTCAGGTTTGTTATGTGTTTGTTGTGGTTACAGGCTATAAATAAAGCTTTCTACAATGGATACCAGGATACGCTCTTCTTTCTGCAGCACAGTCGTAAGTTATAATCAACTGTGTCATTAACTGCTGATGTATTACAAACACAATTCCAAAAAAAGTTGGAGCACTGTGTAAAATGCTGATAAAGACAGAAAGCAGTGATCAGTAAATTCTGTATGATGTATTAAATTGAAAATGGTACAAAAACATAATATTTTATATTTTACTTTATGAACATGGTTTTTTGCAAATATGCGCTCATTCCAAAATTCATGGCTGCAACTTGTTCCAAAACCGTTGTTACAGGAGCATGTTTACCTCATCTTTCCATTTAACAGCACTTAATAATAATCATTTGGGGGCTGAAGAGACAAACTGATCCAGTTTTGAAATTTTTTGCCATTCTACTGTTATATACGTCTCCAGCATTGCCCACACACGGGGCTTCATTGTTGCGTTTTGAGATTAATAAGACTAACTGGCAGTGTGAGACAGTTCTGGACTGCAGGCAGGTCAGTCTAGCACCCGGACTCTCTGATTACGCAGCCATGCTGTTGTAACACCTGCACAATGTTTATTGATGTGTTATGTTGAAATAATCATTGATGTTCCTGAAAAAGACGACATCTAAAAGGCAGCATGTGATGCTCCAAAATGTGTTTGATGTTAACAGTGCTTTTACAGATGTGCAGTTTACCCACTTATACCCCCTCTTACAATGATAACTGGTAACAATTTGTATGTCCCAGAACACAGCACCTATTATTTCCATAAACAATCTGAACGGTTGACTCATCAGATCTCAATATCAGTCCATTTCAGATGAGCTTGAGCTCAGAGAAGTCGGAGGCATTTCTGGACATTGTTGATAAATGACTTCCACTGTGCAGAGTGCAGTCTTAACCTGTATTTGTGGATGCAGCGATGGACAGTGTTTACTGACAACTGTTTATCATAGTATTCCTGAGCTCATGTGGGGATCTCCATCACAGAAACATGTTGGTTTTTAATGCAGTGTTGTCGGATGGGTCAGAGATCATAAGCATTTAGTTGAGGTTTTTGGCCTTTTCCTTTACGCACAGAAATTTCTCCAGATTTTCTGAATCTGATGATGATATCATGCACTGTAGAGGATGAATTACCTAAAATCTTTGCAGTCAACCATTGAGCATTATTTTAAGTTGTTGGATTTTTTTCTGATGCCTTTTTTTTGGAAGTGGCCTCAACCCATTCTTACTCATAAACCTTGCCTGGATGCTCTTTTTACACCCAAGCATGATTGCATCACCTGTTTAAGATGTTTTTTTGTATGTTTCTAGTCTTAAATTGCTCATGTCTCAACTTACTTTGACTATGTTAGAGGCACCAGCATCAGAATGTAGAGTGCATATTTTATAAAAACAGTGAAGCTGATGAGATAAAACTCTACATATCCTGTTTTTGTGTTGTTTTTGGTCAAATACAAGTCAAAGTAGATTTATAAATCATTGCTTTCTGTGTTTATTTGCGTTTTACCTGCTCTCCCAACTTTTTTGGAATTGGGTTCGTTATACATAAATTATCTGTATTATCTGTTTCCAGTGGTGAACCGTGACTGTTAGAACAGGACCTTCAGATCGGGCTGTTAATGTCAGAAAAGTCAGTGACATATCTAGAACATCCAGAAGATTTAGAGTGGCGTTTATCTCAGAAAATTGAAAATCAAAGCCTGACTGGTTGATTTCTAATCATGTTAGTAATTAATCTAAAGTGTAACCTTCTGTCCAGCTCATGTCCTGAAATTGTTCTTCAGATTGATGGAGAAGGTGTTGTATATGGTTCTATATAGCACCAAAACAGTTTTTGCTATTGTTACAACAGAAGAACCCTTTTTGGTCCTACACAGAACCATATACAACACATTCTCCATCAATCTGAAGAACGATTTCACTATGAAAAGAACCATGTAAGAATGCAAATGGTACTTTGAGTGTTCATGGTTCTATATAGGACTATAGTCTTTACTAAAGAACCCTTGAAGAATCATCTCTTTAACAAAGTGCAGTTCTTTACAGAAAAAAAAACTTCAAGTGGATCTGATGGATGGTGAATGTTTGCAGGCTCCTTACAACCTTACCGTGGTTTGGTGGCTGAGCTGGAGAGTGTCGTGGTGGAACAAAAGGAGTGGACACTTCCTCAGCTAGAGTTCACTGAGGAGGAAGAACTCGAAGAGGAAGCTAAAGAATTTGCTCAGGAGAGCCCCCTACAGGGGCTTGTGGAGAACAGTAGCTTGGCTAGGGTTGACTATTCCTCCGATCTGGACTGTCTGGACATGGCCAACAATATAAACCCACCAGGGCAGGCACTGGAAGGTAATGTATGTACTTCACCGTCCACTGCTTGCAGAAGTCGCCAAACTCTTAAACATTAAACAAAATTTTTTTTTGTAAACATTTACAATTATTTACATGCACTTAATAATCCAATCAACGCATTTTCATGCTCTTGGGTAATCAGATAAAGGGGAAACTCCGGGTCTACATGAGTCAGACAGAAATCATATTTCTGCTTTACAACCAGCCAATAAACTCACAGAAGAAGATGTGACGTAAACGTAATGTAAAACTCATGCCATGACTTTTTTTAAGCATCGAGTCACATTAACAGAAATTAAATATCATCTAGAAGATGAAGAATATTTAAATCCTTCATTTCGTCAATCATGTAGTTGGTTTCAGTGTTGCTCCAAAAGTGTTTTGCTGCGTCTTGTGGCAACACTGCTGCTTATTTCCATTAACAGCGTCTGTTTTTGCACATGCACAGACTGAGGAACCCAAAAGAAATCAAAGTAAGAGTTTACATTCACTGAGAAATCTGAATACTGAGCTAAAATCCATCTCTCTTTATCAGATTTCTTATTTGGATTTCTAGATCTTATTCCGAACTAAAAAATCAGAGTGTGCTGTTTACACAACCTTTCGAATGGTCAAAACAGATAACTGCAGAAATCTGATAATGATCGGATTACGAGTGAATGTAAACACACTCATTGAGGAGACATTCAATACAATAAACAATAAACATTTATTGTACAACCCCGTTTTCAAAAAAGGATGCTATGTAGAATGTAAATAAAAAGAGAATGCAATGATATGCAAATCATGTAAACCATATTTTTAAAGGAAAATAGTACAAAGACAACATATCAGATGTTGAAACTGAAAAGTGGTACTGGTTTTTGGAAAATATATGCCCATTTTGAATTTGACGCCAATAGCACGTTCCAAAAAAGTTGAGACGGGGACATGTTTACCACTGTGTTTCATCACCTCTTCTTTTAACAACACTCTGCATCTCAACTCAAACAGTGTGGAGTTCAAAAATCTCTAATAGACTTGATTATGTGGTTTCTGACAGAGCATGATAAATGTGGCTTCCATAAGATGGGTTCAAGGATTCTTTAGTAAAGGGTATGGTTCTAAGTGTTTGGGAACTGAGGAGACCAACTACTGTAGTTGTGAAAGTGAAATGTTTCCCATTCTTGTTTTAATATAGGATTTCAGCGCTCAACAGTTCGGGGTCTCCTTTGTCGTATTTTTCATTTCATAATGCGGCAAATGTTTCAGTGGGTGACAGATCTGGACTGCAGGCAGGCCAGTTTAGCACCCGGACTCTTTTAATACACACTCAGTACCTATAACACTCATTTTTGTCATGTTAAAGGTTCCTTTGCTAATATTTAAAATGAAGATACTGGAATATAAATTTATTTCAAAAGGTAGACAGGATTTTGACTATTTTCATACATTTTCAAATGGAATTAATAAACACATTTACATACATTTATTTTTGTATGGTTCATTTCTATTTGTAATATTTCCCCTTGCATTTTAAAATAAATGTATTTCACAGTATATTTGGTTAATATGGCAATATATTCTGAAATACATTTTAGTGTTTGGAATGTGTTTCAGCATCGACTGCAATGTGTTTGTATATATGCGTATATATATTTTTTTCCGTAAGGGAAGAAACTTCGTAATTTTTTAAGTGTTTAAGCGTTTGTGAAACCGGCCTGATCTGACTCGAGCGACAAGGCCTACGGTGTGAATGTCCCTCTGATCCCATCTTTCTCTTTCAGTGCTCATCTGTAACATCGTGGCTCATCTTGGAATGATCAGTATTGTCAGTGATTACCTGCCGCTGCGGACAATGCCATACCTGCTGCTACCGCTAACGCTAACCATCTGGGCTACCACCACTTTCATCAACAGGTATTCAACCAATCTGTTGCACTGTCAACAAAAACTCCTACAGGAAACAGTTTAGAAGAAAATTATAACAATTTTGCCCCTTAATTCACATCTAGTCCATCAGACACAACAACACAACAAACAACTTGTTTTTAGTTCTAAAGTTTGAAGCTACAAGGCTAATGTACACACTTAAATAATAAAAAAAAAAAAATCTTTCTTTAGTAAAGGGAATGGTTTTGTTCAGAACCATGAGTTTTATATAGAACCATTTCATGCTTAAATGGTCCTTATATAGTGAAATAGTTCTTTAGATGGAGAATGTGTTGAATATAGTTCTCTATAGCACCAAAAAGGGTTCTTTTATTGTTACAAGCTTGACATTGCAACAATAGCAGAACCCTATGGTGCTATATAGAACCATATACAACACATTCTCCATCAATATAAAGAACCATTTCACCATGCAAAGAACCATTTAAGTATATGCAAATAGTTCTTTGAATGTTCATGGTTCTATATAGAAGCATTGTCTTTGCTAAAGAGCTCTTGATGAACCATCTTTTATTAAGAGTGTATATAGAACCATTTGCATGCTTAAATGGTTCTTTGCATGGTGAAATGGTTCTTCAGATTGATGGAGAAAGTGTTGTATATGGTCATATAGCACCAAAAAGCGTTCTGCTATTGGTACAAGCTAGACATGGAACACTTTTTGGTGCTATATGGAACCATTTTCAAAAAGGTTCTATATAGATCCAGATAAAACACATTCTCCATCAATATGAAGAACCATTCCACCATGCAGAGAACCATTTAAGCATGAAATGGTTCTATATACAACTCATGGTTCTAAATAGAACCATACCCTTTACCCTTGAAGAACCATCTTTTTCAGGAGTGTAGATAGCAAGTAACGGAAGCCACATTTATCATGCTCCACCAGAAACCACATAATCAAGCCTGATGCTATTTGGTGGGGTAATGTGGGGTCAGTTGCCTTTGGTGTTGGGGGAAAATTATGTAAATTAGATACTGTCTAGTCTAAATGTCTACAACAATCTCAACAATTTTGAATATTAGATATTTCAGCTAGATTTAAGACAGTTTCACTTCAAAGATGCCATTTTTGCAGTGTGTAATAAAAACTGCTGTAAATTTTAAGTTAGCATGAAGCTTTGTGCATTAAATGAACTAAACGAGTTGCGGTGTGCCTCAGGGTTGAGCCGTGGGTCCTCTACACTTATCAAGTGGCCTACTGGCTTTGGCAGGACCTGAAGCACATGATGCGGTTCATCCTCAACATCATATTGTCCAGTGTGCGCAAAGGTGTTCAACACAAGTAAGGACACATTTCCTCTACAGTTTTACATAATTTCTCTTTTTCTTTCTTTCTTATATAGCAGTGTTGAGCTTTTCTTGTTTTTTTCCCCTCTGTGTAAGGATGCCGGCGCTGTTCATCATCCAGACTAAATATCTGAGTCGTGCAAAAGACCAGCTCAGTGCGTCTTCACCCCTCCGTCAAAAAAGCTCCATCTTGCAATCCCACCATACGCTCCTCTTCGCATTGGAGATGAGGAAACGGCAAAGAGAGAGCAAACAGAACGTACCGTAGATGCTACACGCTCAACAACTGGACATATGAAGATATATTACCAACATGAATCACCCTCAGCATTGCAGTGACACTGACGTGGTGGTGTGTTAGTGTGTGTTGTGCTGGTGTGAGTGGATCAGACACAGCTGTGCTGCTGGAGTTTTTAAACACCTCAGTCTCACTGCTGGACTGAGAACCAAAAACAGCGTCCTGTGACCACTGATAAAGGACAAGAGGATGACCAACACAAACTGTGCAGCAGCAGATGAACTATTGTCTCTGACTTTACATCTACAAGGTGGAGCAACAAGGTAGGAGTGTCTAATAGAGTGGACAGTGAGTGGACACAGTGTTTGAACACTCCAGCAGCACTGCTGTGTCTGATCCACTCGCACCAGTGCAACACACACTAACACACCATCACCACGTCAGTGTCACTGCAGTGCTGAGAATGACCCACCACCCAAATAACACCTGCTCTGTGGGGGTCCTGATAATTGAAGAACAGGGTAACAAAGTAAGCAGAGAAACAGATGGACTACAGTCTGTAACAGTAGAACTACAAAGTGCTCCTATATGGTCAGTGGAGCTGAGTGTATCATATATATTGTTTGAGGATCTGAAGCTGGACGAGGGCTTTGTGGGTGAGATTAGTGACCCCCATGACTAACACAATCTCTTTAACTGTCTTTATCAGAGGGTCTTGTTCTGTCATGCTTTAATTAAAAGTAACCAGCAGACAAAGACATTAAAACATTAAACTCATTCCTTTCAATCTTCTTTATTAACTTATAGAAAAGATTCTTCACATTTTAATCAGCTTTCTGTTTATGTAAGCTATGAAATGCTGGTATATGAGCATATGTAAGTATGTAAGTGTATTTTTTCCCTTTCTGTAAAATATACATAGTTATACTGAGGTCATCTGACAATAAAAACAATACAAACATAAAAAGTTTCATTATTAAGTTCACACACAGCACTGTGAGACCACCCTTCATTCATTCAGACCTTAGCATCACGGAATGTGTTGGGGTTACTTTAGAAAATCAACTTTTGAGGCCTAATTCCATTTCATCCCTCGCCCCTACCACTTAGCCCTACCCCTCCGTTTTGAGCATTCCCGTCTAGTGGGTAGGTGTCCTGATTCTTGTTGAGATAGAGGGGTAGGGCGAAGTGTTAGGGCTACATGACCCTCCAAACGGAGTTTTTTCAGAGACACACTCCAAACAGAGTGTTATGAAGAAAAAAGAAAAACAGCAAGATGGCTGTGCAAGCAACCAAAGAAACCCACAAATGTGAGAATTTTCTCTGTTTAACCATTGTATTATCTTAGTTGAATGTTGTTTCAGTGTATTATGGTCCATTTCATCATAACAAGTGTCTCAGTAGCTAGCTAGCTAAATTTCCCTTTCCACCTTAAATAGAGCAGCAGTTACATTCTGGTGTCTCAGGCATCAGAACTGCTGTACCCTTTAAGGTGGAACAGGTGAATTTGAACGAGAAGATAGCAAATAGCTGACTTAAGCTTCATATCACTGAAGATTAGGGATGGGCGTTAATAAATAATTGCACCCCTCCCCTTTGAAGGCATATGATGCCCTAAGTGTAACTAAATCCCAGCAGCGAGGTTGCTGAATTTTACCCTCCTCTGCTATCACTGCAGACTGGCAGGGTCGCATACAGAGCACCGCTAGTAGCCTGTCAATGAAGTAATGTTCTTTTTTATTTGAGGGTTGTTCTATTTCATGGGGAAGATTTCAACCACTACCCTATAACTCAGTTCCAAGGGGCAAGGAGATACTCAAAAACAAGGGATAGGGGTAAAAGTAAGAAATGGGATTGGGCCTAAGACTAAAGTTTGGAGGTGTGTCTTTCCATGTTTGTGTTAATTTGTGTAAATAAGTCAACATCCTCTACAGATACAAAATTCTGAATATTTTAATACATAATTACTGTTTATATACTGAATTTAACTAATAAAACAGTTATGGCACATTTTATGTTTTTCCAGTACGTTCAACTCAGCAAATAAATAGTAATCATGCAATAAAATTTGACTTGACTTTCAGCTAAGCCTTCTGCTTTCTGTTTTCTAATGCTGAAAAATTGGTAACGTGTACTTGATGTCCCTTTTGAAATGAAATAAATGAATGGTGGACTTTTGCACAGGGCTATAGTGTTTAAAAAAGCTAAATAAATAGCATTCAGTTCACAGTTGAACAGGAATATGTAAAACAGTAGCAGCGTGTCCAATTGGTTTCAGTCTGACAGCATGTGAGCTGTCTTGTGATGCACTGCTTTCCTTAAACCAGAACACACTTTCATTGAAGACCCATAAATTCATCCATTCTGCTCGGTCACATTATCCCTCCTTGGTTTTAAAGTGTGGCCCACGATATTAAAGCACTTGCGTAAAGTCCTTAAAATGTGACTCAATTTATCACAAGAAGCTAAACGCTCATTTAAAAAAAGGCAAAGAATAATCCCCCCAGTGTTTCCCCGCTCTGTCCCCGTCTGATCTCTGGGGATTTCCCAAAATATAATTGAAAGCTTTTTCACTGTAAAGGTCAACAATAGAATAACATATTGTAATTCCACACCTCACTTTGGACCCTTTTAAACCTTAGAAGAAGAGTTATTGCTGTCATTCTGTGCCATTATTCTAATAGAATTACATACTTATATAATTAAAGGGGAATTCCACTGATTATTACCATTTCAAATGCAATTGTTCACAGTGGTGATGACAGGAACCAGAGGTCCACCTTTATCCACCATTGTAAATAAAATGTCTATATTTCTGTTGTAGTCTTGGCAACCCCTGGTTCCTATCACCACCACTGTAAAGACATCTGAACAATTTCACACCAAACCACCCTGAATCACTCTGTTTACATCTCACACACTGAATTTTAGAAGAATTTCTAAAAATAGGTGGATTTTCCCTTTAGTCATGCAGTAAGGCTATACTGGAGCTGGATTAGTTTTATTAGAAAAGGCCCTGTAATGTAATTTGTAGAGATTTGACAGAATAAAGTATCTCTGGATTTTCCCCAAATTAGCCCCGGATAACCCAGACATTCTTACACCAGCGTTAACATTAAAATTAAATGGGTACGCTCTTAAAAAAGATGGTTCTTCAAAGGTTTTTAAGTAAACTAAATTGTTCTACAAAGAACCACGAACACTCAAAGAGTGTTTCCATGATGATGAAAGGGTTCTTTGGATCATGAAATGGTTCTTCAGATTGATGGAGAATGTGATGTATATGGTTCTATACAAACCTTTTTGAAAAAGGGTCTATATAGCACCCAGAGCTGCTGTCACTGAAAGAGCTCAGAGTTCAGCAAAGTGTAGAAGATCATTAAAGCCAGAATTATTACTAAACAAACTACTAACACTGTATATTTATATTGGAATAAAATCTTATCAGTAAACACTCAAATTACAAAACCTCCCCAACTCAAACTAATCCGGCTCCAACAGAGCTTTAGTTATGTAACTAATAGCATTTATATTCAATTTACACTCTGTATCGGGTTTGAGTCTTTACCTTTAACTTTTTCTGTCAAAAAATGACAAAAGATGTTTCTTCTGATAAACGAGACTGACGACAATAATTTCTCATCAAATTTAAATCATAATAAAATATCTCCTCTTCTACTCACACACAGATGACAATTAATAACAATTAATAAATGAAATTAATCGTGAGCTAAAATTTCGTGATTGTGACAGCCCTAACAGTACGACAGTAGGAAAGTTTCCAATCTGCACTTTCCTCACAGAAATCATTCGTAGAAAAGTTCAGCATGAGTTCTTCATCGCCAGCGATAACTGAGACTTTTAAACATCTCACTAATCACACCCTCATGCTACAAAAGGCTGTGAGGCCACAGGAAACCACAGAAGCAGCTCTTCTTTTTCTGCCACGAAGTTCTCACCCTCAGAATCCAACCCATCACAGCCTGCTGCATCTACACCATAGCGGACTGTACGAGTCCATTAATACCGTTTACAGAACATTCCAGACAGTGACCAGCACTTCCCCCATGTTCTTCGCCTGAGAGCTGCTACTCGGGGTCACTGCAGCACTGACCTTCCACATCTTCAGACTCCTACAGAGAGAAACTCAACATTATATTATAATCACAATAAGAGCTGGGCAATATGGCGAAAACATAACATCGCGATACTTCAAGAAATGTGTACGATACGCAATATGTTGTATTTATTTTTCCAGCCATCTGATCAGTTGGAACAGAGAAAAGAACCTACATTTTAAAAATACTATCAAAAACTGTGAACACAGTGATTTTTATTCAGTATTTGGCACTAAATCCAGTTAAACAGGACTAATTTTGCTCTCTTTGAAATGAAACATGCAGTTGGTCAGTGTCCACAAGTAATGACGATATACACTATATGTTCAGAAGAGCAGATTGTATTGTATTGTGACATAATTCATCACCATAACAATATATATTCTCGTATTGCCTGGCCCTATTTACAATCATAATTGCAATCAGAGTCTTCTTTTTGGAATTTAAGATTTCTCCTGGAGCAGGCGTCCACATAAACAGCTCTGCAGGTCTTCTGCAAGGCTGTGCGCAGCCACAAACAGTTCAAAATTATTTATCAGTAATTAGCGGTAATTCAGTTTTTACCTCTAAACACATTAGAATTAAAGCAACTTAACATAAATACAGTGAACAGTACTAATAACTTCTTGTATTCAGTGAAGTTGCTGATGTCTTGGTTTAAAGAACTCAGGTTTGGTTCCTCTTCTCCTTAACGCAGCTCCAGCTACTGCATGGATTTGTTCAATTGCACCAGCAGGACATCTGATTAATTTAACTTAATGAAGGACTGATTAACCTTATTTAACTTCTTGAAGGACTGATTAACCTGATTTAACTATATGAAGGACTGATTAAACTGAATTGCCCTAATGAAGGATTGATTAAACTGATATAACTTAATGAAGGATTGATTAAACTGATTTAATTTAATGAAGGATTGATTAAACAAATTTAACTTAATGAAGGATTGATTAAACAAATTTAACTTAATGAAGGATTGATTAAACTGATATAACTTAATGAAGGATTGATTAAACTGATATAACTTAATGAAGGATTGATTAAACTGATTTACTTTAATGAAGGATTGATTAAACTGATTTACTTTAATGAAGGATTGAATGAACTCATTTATCCGTCATTAAGTATTGATTGAGCTAATTTAAATTGTGTGTGTGTTACTAAACTTTAATATTTGACACAATTTAGACATATTTAGATGAATGAGGGATTAATTATACTGGTTTATCTTAACGAAAGATTGATTAAACTAATTTTACTTAAAGGGGAATCTAGTAAATTAGTGTATCATATTAAGATTTAATTAGAGTGATTAAAATCATCTTTAATTAAAGCTAAATCAGTTTAATTGATCCACCATTAAATGAAATCAGGTCTGCTGCTGGTGGAATGGAAAAAGCTTCATGCAGTGGCTGGTGTCTATGCAGGTGTGTTCACAGCATGGTACTGTGGGGTCTCCTGTCCTTACCTGTTTGTGGGCGGAGCATATCTGTGTAAATCGGTCCTGCAGGTACTGGTTCCCAAAGCCCATGATGCGGCTTACAGCTTGGCTGGACAGACCGGCCACTTTAGCGGTGAAGTCCAATGTGAAGGCGAGCTGGACCAGCTCCGGGGCGGTGTGCGGGACCCGGTCCGCCGGCTGCGGGATCCGGGAGAGGTAGCGGTCAGCAAGCTGCTGGAAGGAATTGTATGACAATCGCTGGAAGAACGAGTGTATCCTGCTGTTCTTCTGAATCTGAACAGAGAACCAAACTCACTTTAACTACGTTCAGGCTGAACAAAGAGCCCATATCATAAAAATCACAGTTTAGCCCTGCCCATTCACTTACAGCTTAAAGTTATGAGAAGTTTTCAGCCATTTCAGTGTCACAATACAGGGCAGCCAAACCCCAACAGAGCTCATTTACATATATCATATTTACATATATAATTACACATGCATATTTAGATATATTGGTTTAATTCTAAGGGATAAATGGGGGAAAATGGTTATGTAAAACCAAATTATGACTGTTTTCAGGACATAAAACCACACAAACATCATTACAGCAATTTAGTGATTTATCTTTGTGGTTTTATTCAATTTTATGATTTATTTTTGCATTTCAGCCATATTTTATACTTCATTTTTGAATTTTAGGCAGATTTAACAGTTTATTTTTGTGTTGCAGGATAATTCAGTGGTTTATTTTTGTGTTTTAGACTGATTTAGAGATTTACCTTTGAGTTTTAGGCAGATTTAGTGATTTAGCTTTGCATTTTAGACCAATTTGGTGATTCGACTTTCGAGTTCTAGGATTATTCAGTGATTTGTCTTTGAGTTTTAGGATGATTTAGTGATTTATTTTTAAGTGTAAGGATGATTTAGTGATTGATCTTTGGGTTTAGGATGATTTAGTGATTTATTACGCATCCCCACAATACCTAATTAAGTAAGTGAATACTAAGATGGTTTAGATATTCATATATGTGAACAGCTACACTCACAGTTGTTTCAGTATTACTGAGTGATTAAAAAAAATCACCTGCTCATTGATGGCATCTCCGTGTTGCTTCAGCAGACTGATAATCCTCTCAACAGTGTCATCTGGAGAAAATGAACAAAACAATAAATAACTCTTCTTCCTACGCTCGGACCAAACAGTCATGCAGTACTGATTTTATTTAGTAATAAAATCATGCTGTAATTTTATGTGTATTATTCTGACTCAAAGTTCACTGAAACAAGAGCAGAGACTGTGAGGAAAGTGCAGATTCTAAACTTTCAGTCCACAGTAGTGTCTTTGAGTGCTCTCTTAAAAAAAGATGGTTCCTTAAGGGTTCTTTGGTAATGACAATGGAATATATAGAACCATGAAAACTCAAAAAACCCTTTGCATGCTTAACAGGTTCTTTGCATGGTAAAATGGTTCTTCAAATTGATGCAGAATGCGTTGGTTAAGTAACGCACCAAAAAGACAAAGAACATATCCTCCATCATTCTGAAGAACCATTTCACGGTTCTTTGAGTGCCCATGGTTCTACATAGAACCACTGTCTTTACTAAAGAACCCGTGAAGAACGATCTTTTTTAAGAGTGTAGAAGAGGAGATATTTTATTATGATCTGAATCTGGGGAAAAATTTGTGCAGAAAGAAAAAAAACATCTGTTTAGATTTTTGCTGTTTTTAATAGAAGTTAAAAATGTAAATAAAAATGTAAATATAATTTAATATGTAGCTATTAGGAATACAAGGCAGATTTATTATTCTGATCGTGTCAGATCTGTCTGCAGTTTTATGGAGAAAATAAGGTGAACTGTATGTACGGTAAAAAAACGGTTAGTCAGTTCAACTTGTAGGAGTTGCTTCATGTAGTAACTGACTGAACTGGTTTCATTCAATTCAAATAAATACTTTGAATGAAACAAAGCAAAATAAACAGGAACGTAGGTCATTTAAAAACTTCAAATAAATGACTGTACTGTTCCACTTTTTACAGTGTGAATTCTAGTGTGATCTTGTTTTAAACACAGAAATAAAAATAAAATTATTGGCAATGTATCAGTATCAGCCACAAAAAGGTTTTAATTATCAGTTTTTCATCTCAACCCAGAAATTAAATTTTAACTAATTAAAAAAAAAATAAAAGCACCAAGAAGAATCAAATGTGAGGTTCTATGATACACTCAATCGTTTTCTAAAGAATCGTTGTGAGGTTGTGAGGCTGTGAGGTTATGAAGCTGGGAGGCTGTGAGGTTGTGAAGCTGAGGTTGTGAGGCTGTGAGGTTGTGAACATGTGAGGCTGAGAGGTTGTGAGGCTGTGAGGTTATGAAGCTGTGAGTTTGTGAAGCTGTGAGGATGTGAGGCTATGAAGCTGTGAGGTTGTGAGGCTTTGAGGCTGTGAGGTTGTAAGGTTGTGAGGCTGTGAGTTTGTGAGGCTGTAAGGCTGTTAGGCAGTAAGGCTGTAAGGTTGTGGGGCTGTTAGGTTGTGAGTTTGTAAGGCTGTGAGTTTGTGAGGCTGTGAAGTTGCGAGGCTGTGAGATTGTGAGTTTGTAAGGCTGTGAGTTTGTGAGGCTGTGAGGTTGCGAGGCTGTGAGATTGTGAGGTTGTGAACTTGTGAAGCTGTGAATTTGTGGGGCTGTGAGTTTGTGAGGCTGTGATGTGAGACTATGAAGATGTGAGGTTGTGAGGCTATGAGGCAGTAAGGCTGTGAGGTTGTGAGGCTATGAGTTTGTGAGGCTGTGAGGTCATAAGGTGGAGGAATTCTCACCTGGAGTAGGACTTTGTTCTTCTGAAGCAGCAGTGCTCTGACCTACAACAGCATCTCCATCTGGACTGGTCTTCACTTCCTTCACAATGCGCTCCAACTCCTCAGAGACCTTCTCAAAGTACGCGCTGGTGGGCTCCACACTCACAGCTGGACAGAAAAGACAGAAACATGCAAATTCTGTTCATAAATTGTCACTTTACCACAAAGTTATCCAGTCCTGATGCTCAGTAGAGCTGCCTTCGGACTCTATCAGTGTCCTCCTGGTTTTTATGGTCATTCTCAGAGCTGAAGTTTCTGTAGAGATTTCACTTCAGTATATCTGACCTGCCACCAAGCGCATCACCTCATTGCTAGAAGTCTCGCCGGTGATTGCTTTAAGAAAGCATCACAAGGATCTACTGGCAGTAGGGAGCACTTGTAACTTGCTAAACCTAGTTCAAAGGTTTATGCCAGGCTCTGTGGAGCTCTAAACATATTTTTTAAAAACGATTCATTAACCAGAACCCCAAGAATATGCAGATCAGCCATAATATTAAGTTCTCCTTGTATCTACACTTACTGTGCATTTTCTCAGCTCCACTGACTATATAGGAGCACTTTGTAGTTGTACAGTTACAGACTGAAGTCCATCTGTTTCTCTGCATACTTCAATGGTCAGAGCCTTCACAGGACCCCCACAGAGCAGGTGTTATTTGGGTGGTGGGTCATTCTCAGCACTGCAGTTACACTGACGTGGTGCTGGTGTGTGTTGCGCTTGTGCGAGTGGATCAGACACAGAGTTTTTAAACATTGTGTCCACTCACTGTCCACTCTATTAGACACTCCTACCTCGTTGGTCCACCTTGTAGATGTAAAGTCAGAGACGATAGCTCATCTGCTGCTGCACAGTTTGTGATGGTCATCCTCCTTCATCAGTGGACAGAGAACGCTTCCCACAGGACGCTGTCAGGGTGGATGTTTTTGGTTCTCAGTCCAGCAGCGACACTAAAGTGTTTAAAGTCTCTTAAAAAGATGGTTCCTTAAGGATTCTTCAGCAAAGACAGAACCACTGACACTCACAGAACCATTTGAATGCTTAAATGGTTCTCTGCATGGTAAAATGGTTCTTCAGACTGATGAAAAATGTGTTGATTCTGTAAGCACCAAAAAGAGTTCTTCTATTGTTATCATGTCAAGCTTGTTACAACAGAAGAACCCTTTTGGTGCTATATAGAAACATTTTAAAAAGGTTCTAAATAAAACCATGTACAACACGTTCTCCATTAATCTGAAGAACCATTTCACCATGCAGAGAACGATTCAATCATGAAAATGGTTCTTTGAGTGTTCATGGTTCTATATAGGATCACAGTCTTTACTAAAGAACTCTTGAAGAACCATCTTTTTAAGAGTATAGAAGAGGAGATATTTATTATGAACTGAATTTGATGAAAATTTGTGCAGAAAGAAAAAACTTGCTTTTTTTCTGAGCAGATAAAAATGTAAATAAAAAAGTAAATATAAATTAATATGTAACTATTAGGAATACAAGGCAGATTTATCTCCAATTGTTCAGTTTATTATTTGGATCGTGTCAGATCTGTCTGCAGTTTTATGGGGCAAATAAGCTGAACTGCATGCATTAAAAAAAAAAAAAAACGTTAGTTCAGCCATGTAGTTCACTCCATGTAGTAACAAGTGACAACTACTCTATTTAATCAAATAAATACTTTGAATAAAACAAAGCAAAATAAACAGGAACGATGGTCATTTTTAAACTTCAAATGAATGACTGCACTGTTCCACTTTTTACAGCGTGAATTCTAGTGTCATCTTGTTTTAAATGCACAAATAAAAATAAAATTATTGGTATTTGGTATCAGTATCAGCCGAAATAAGGTTTCAACACCAGTTTTAAACACCTTAGTGTCGCTGCTTGACTGAGAACCAAAAATATCCAGCCAGCAGCATCCTGTGGGCAGCGTCCTGTGGGAAGCGTCCTGTGACCACTGATAAAGGACTAGAGAATGACCAACGCAAACTGTGCAGCAGCAGATGAGCTATTGTCTCTGACTTTACATCTACAAGGTGGACTGACAAGGTACGAGTGTCTAATAGAGTGGACTGTGAGTGGACACAGTGTTTAAAAACTCCAGCAGCACTGCTGTGTCTGATCCACTCAGACCAGCACAACACACACTAACACACCACCACCATGTCAGTGTCACTACAGTGCTGAGAATGACCCACCACCCAAATAATATCTGCTCTGTGGGGGTCCTGTGGGGGTCCTGACCACTGAAGAACAGGGTAACAAAGTATGCAAGAGACAGATGGACTACAGTCTGTAACTGTAGAACTACAAAGTGAAACTATATGGTCAGTGGAACTGATCAAATGGACAGTAAGTGCAGATACAAGGAGGTGGACTGAATGAAGTGTCAGATCGGTGTATTTTATATTATTTTATACTCAGTTTATTTTACTTTATTTTCAATTATTATTATTATTATTATTATTATTATTATTATAAATAATAATAATAATAATAATAATAATAATAATGCCTATAATGCATAACACTAAGTAAAGTATTCTTGGTGCGATCCCACAGAATGAACACTTTTGGTTCCATAAAGAACCGTTCAATGGAAGGTTCTTCAGAAAATCATCATTTATGAAAGAGATGGCTGAATGCGAAGAACCTTTTTAAAGTTTAAAGAACCTCAACATTTCATGTAATGATTCTACATCAGCTAAAGGATTATGTTCAAGCCAAAAACTATTCAGGAACCTTCGGAGTTGACATGAACATAAACATCATGTGTCTTCACTGCAGATGTAGAACCGAGTTAGGTTTATAAACGCACCGTGCGGAAGTTTGACCACGTCCTCCGGAGTGAGAGCGGGTTTTCGCAGAGATTCTGACTTCTCCACTCTCCTGAACGAGAGCTTTCTGAGAGAGTGTTTCTTTTTCACCGCTTTGGAAGCCTCTTCAGCTTTCAGTTCTGAGGAGCAAGTTCCAGGTTTGGGAGATTCCGGCCTTGTTTCAGATCCCTTCTTGGAGAACCAGTGGAGAAAAGCCCTGAGGAACGACTTCCTGGCTGTTTCTGGAGTTTTCCTGTTTTTTTTCTCCACATCTCCAATGGAGGATTTGGATGATGGCAGTGTCCAGTCTGACTGAGGAGGTTTCTCAGACTCTGTGGTCTTTAAGATCTTCTCTATGGACAGGCGGTGAGTGGAGCTGTCGCTGGACGCCCGTCTTGCCTGACCGCCTCCATCGCTCAGGGTCACCCATTTACGGGACTTCAGCCGCTGCTTCCTGAGTCCAGTGGCGTCGTTCAGACTCAGACTGCGCTTCACATAGACCTCCAGCAGCCGGCTGGTGGACCTCGGGTCAAAAAACAGCAGCTGACGACCAGCAGTGGACCGCTCATCTTTAGACATCATCAGAGTTCTGCTCTGAAAACGAGACAATGGAGAAATTATGAGATAAAAACAGAGATCATGGTGGCGGAATAAATAGATAATCCAGAAAGTCTTGACTTTATATCTCCAAAGAAAAACCTTGTTTTCTTCAAACAAGCAATTTTACAGGAGAGAGAAAGAACATTTTTAACTTTTAATATAAGTTAAACCTTTTAAATGGTCAGGGTTCATAGATGGGCCCAAAGTTTTATTACATACTTCTATAATCTAAGAAAAGCTCAGCCAGTTTGCATTAAAGTCCCTGTAATTACTGAATAATAAGCCATGGTATGTAATAAACCTGGAGTTTTAAGGAATTTTTAAGGAATTTTAAGGGATTTTAAATTAACATCAGTTTTCAACACAGGTGGTGTTAGAAATTATGTAAAAATTACAAAAATGGAGATAAAAGCGTTCTGCTACAATTTCTATTTGCAGAGTTCACCATATTGGAAAAAACAGTGTATATATATATGCACATCGCTGCTGTGGGAAGAAAACCTGTATCTCAGTTTTTTAGTTTTTAACATAATTTGAAAATGCCTGTTGCTGTCTACAATGTGTCAAAATTTTATGATTAATGACCCAAAAGAAATGACCCAAAATGACTAGGAAAAAAGTCTGGTTCTATTGACTTACATTAAAAGTAGGTTTTTTTCTGACAACACCGAGATATATATATATATATATATATGTGTGTGTATATATATATGTATGTATATATATATATATATATATATATATATATATATATATATATATATATATCGGTGTTGTCAGAAAAAAAACTACATATAAAACCTTATTATATATATATATATATATATATATATATATATATATATATATATATATATATAGCCGCTGTCGGAACAAAACTTCATAACTCCAAAATAATAACTTTACAGGAGAAGGAAAAAACAAACTTTACTTTTAATGTAAGTCAATGGAACCAGACTTTTTTCCAAGTATTTTTGGGCTAATTCTTTTGGTGCATTCTTCCTGAAATGTACACACAACGTAAAGGCCAACAGGCTTTTTCAAATTATGAAAAATGCAAAAATGGAGATAATTTAAATAATACAAATCATTAAATAATATGACAAGTGTACAAAACAAAGCAACTGTCATCATCATAACATCCTTACATTCCTTCTAATAAGGTATTTTCTGATTTAGTACAGTAATAAACATATTGTGGTACTCATAACTAAGGAAGTGTCATTATGGTTTACATGGTTTATGTTCAAGTCAGATGGAATAAATTTCACCCTTCTGGGTTCAGATCTCTGTTAGTTAACCTACCTCAAAAAAAACTTTAACTCTTTAACGGTACATCTATTAGCAAGTTAACCAAACTTGTGTTTAAGTTTTAAAGAAGTACGCCGTCTAACTAACATTTTAGTTAAAACACCAACTTCTTTTCCAGCTTACAGTTTTAAAAACACAAATATATTAACATTTACAGACATTTTTCAGGGTTTTTAGAGAAGGAAACACTGCCAGTCCGTCTGATACTGAAAAACAACAACCAAACTCGGAGGAACTTCTCCGTTCCGCCTTAAATGATGCAACAACAGGCGCAAGTAACTTACACCGGCTGTAACGTTATCATTTAAGGTGGAAGGGGAAATTAGAATAAGAAGCGAAAAGAAGTGCAATACTATTTAATCTCACCTTCCCCTGCGTAGAGACCCTCAGAGTGACGCTACTAAACTAAACACAGTCACAGAGAGTAAAAGAAAAAAGTAAAAAGAGAACCGAAATAGCGGATGCACCGCAGCCAGCGCGGCCGAGCTGCGAAAAAAAAAAGCAAAATAAAAGTCCCTTCAGTGGCGAGTGAAATACGGCGGTTAGGTGATGTTTGGAGAGTGGAATACAGCAGTGGGTGGTGTTTACAGGATCTGAGTGGTCAACAGCTGGAGGATGACCGGCCCTGCACAAGCCCTTCACATTGTGTCCTGTGCAGTTTGCGTTTTTGGACCGTCCCTTTTCCTCTTGGGGAATCCCCAGCTATCTCACACAGAGCATAAATTCAAGATTCAAGAGTTTATGTACAATACATACACTACAAACACTTTATACAAACTAATTAAAAGTAAAAAGAAAGTATAAAAAAATAGAAAAGCCTGAAAATGTACATAAATTAGGAAAATATACACAATATATTTTAACATGTTCTGCTGATTCTTGTTGGTGTCCAGTAGTCTTTAATGGTATTCTGTGTTTTCCTGATGGGTTGATATCACAGTGTCAAGGACTGTGATATGATTTAACATGTATTCTGTTTCCATATATATTGAATTGTTTCCTAATGGGATCTGAAGGTGTCCTACAGGAAACTAGTGGTCTGCAATGGTAACCATTGAGCCAATTCCCTTCAGAAAGCAACAGCATCATATTTTAACCCTAATGGTTCTAAAGGTCCTTTTTCAGCACTCAGTAGCAGTAGTATTAACTCTTGCTGCCCAAAACACAATTGCTATAAAAAACATGAAACATAGAGGTGAGTTTTCTTTGCTTTTTTAGTGAAATACATCCTTCTAATGTCTAAAATTAAAGGAAGATCCTGGGCAAATGAAGAAGAAGACACCATGGAAACCGCTTCAGCTCACAGAAGTCACCATTGAAACCACTTCAGCTAAAGGAGATTACCATGGAAACCGCTTCAGTTCAAAGAAATCACCATGGAAACTGCTTCAGTGTAAAGGAGTCACCATGGAAACCTCTTCAGCGTAAAGAAGTCACCATAGAAACTGCTTCAGCTAAAGGATATTACCATGGTAACATCTTAAGCTCAAACAGACACCATGGAAACCACTTCAGCTTAAAGAAGTCACCATGGAAACCACTTCAGCTCACAGAAGTCAGCATGGAAACCACTTAAGCTAAAGGAGATTACCTTGGAAACTGCTTTAGTCTAAAGAAATTACCATGGAAACTGCATTAGTGTAAAGAAATCACCATGGAAACCTCTTCAGCTCAAAGAAATCACCATAGAAACCGCTTCAGCTCAAAGAAATCACCATGGAAACTGCTTCAGCTCAAAGAAATCACCATGGAAACTGCTTCAGCTCAAAGAAATCACCATGGAAACTCCTTCAGATCAAAGAAGTGACCATGAAAACCGCTTCAGCTCAAAAAAATCACCATGGATACCGCCTCAGATCAAAGAAGTCATCATGAAAACCACTTCAGTGTAAAGAAGTCACCATGGAAACCACTTCAGCTCAAAGAAGTAACCATGGAAACCGCTTCAGCTCAAAGAAATCACCATGGAAACCGCTTCAGCTTAAAGAAGTCACCATGGAAACCACTTCAGCCCAAAGAAGTCACCATGGAAACCACTTCAGCTCACAGAAGTCAGCATGGAAACCACTTAAGCTAAAGGAGATTACCTTGGAAACTGCTTTAGTCCAAAGAAATTACCATGGAAACTGCTTTAGCATAAAGAAATCATCATGGAAACCTCTTCACCTTAAAGAAGTCACCATAGAAACCGCTTCAGCTAAAGAAGATTACCATGGTAACAGCTTAAGCTCAATAAAGACACCATGGAAACCACTTCAGCTTAAAGAAGTCACCATGGAAACCGCTTCAGCTCAAAGAAATCACCATGGAAACTGCTTCAGCTCAAAGAAATCACCATGGAAACTGCTTCAGATCAAAGAAATCACCATGGAAACTGCTTCAGATCAAAGAAGTGACCATGAAAACCACTTCAGCTCACAGAAGTCACCCTGGAAACCACTTCAGCTCGAAGAAGTAACCATGGAAACCGCTTCAGCTCAAAGAAGTCACTATAGAAACCACTTCAGATAAAATAAATCACTATGTAAACTGCTTCAGCTCAAAGAAGTCACCATGGAAACTGCTTTAGCTCAAAGATATCACGGTGGAAACCACTTCAGCTGAAAGAGATTACGATGAAAACCACTTCAGCTCAAAGAAGTTCCTAAGAACAAACTTAGGAAGTTACTGGTGAACGAGGCCCAGGGTTATTACTCATGATATTTCGTACATTTCACTGTGCCAGATTCTGAAATTGCTGAGGTTCCACAGATTATTTTAGGAAGTGTTGTTGCTGTTGTTTTTAAACATGTTAAACAGGAAATGACCATTAAATATATACGAAGACGTGTTGGACTGCATGTGTTAATAGAGTTTTGAATATTGATGATGCATGTCAGGATCTGCTCGACAGCTCAACCCCAGACACGCCTGCAGTTACAGCGTCACGTACTGTCACACTGCCGTGTGAAACTGACACAGCTGAACAAACAGCCTGCAAGGGGAGTGTGTGTGTGTGTGTGTGTGTGTGTGTGTGTGTGTGTGTACAGGAATGTAACGCTTCCCCCTCCACACACACACACGCACACACACGCACTCTCAGACCGTGTAGGTGTTGACAGTTGAGCTGTTCGTTTACACTCCTGCTGTTACCCACGACCCGCACTAAAACACGACTGGGTCTAAAAATGTCTGTTGGCTGAAGGGTTAAAATAGTTTTACAATTTTTATTTTGTGTTTTGATTCAGTTTAGTTTTATTTTTGAGGGTGCTTTGTTTTTATTTTCTGATCAGTAATAACTTTAGTCTGGTTTCATTTAGTTTCAGTATCATGATGAATGCTGTAAAAGCAGTGTGGTAAAAATATGTAATAAAGTAAGCAAGGCAGTAGACTGAGCTCAGCTCAGCTCCAGCTTTCCAGCTTTCTCCAGCTTTCAGTAAATAGGCATGGAGAACAAAATACTGTAAAAATATGCCATGAACCCAGAAATGTAGTAAAAGTTTGCACTTAACTTGATCAAAGTGTAATAAACCCCAATAATGTAATAAGGTGTTAAATATAGTGAACCTGAAAATGTAGTAAATTCCCAATAATGTAATAACACACTAGATTATCAGCAAAATATGATTACATTATCAGTTAAGACATTGTATTACATTATTGGGTTTTATTACATTTCGAACAAGTTGAGTGCTAAATTTTCTTACATTTCTTACTGTTACTACATTATTGAGAAATTATTACATTATTGGGAAATGATTACATTATTGGGTTCTACACTGCAAAACACAGAAACACACTTGTAAAATCTCATTCATGCAATAAAAAAGCTAAAATTAAAGTTTTTTTCCTCAGTAATTCTGTTTAGTTTTGCAGTGCATGCTAAAGTTTTGATTTGTCATTTTTATTTTTATTAAAGGTAACAAGCAAATTTTTTTCACTGCTAATTTTAATTTCAGTAGTAGTTTCATTAAACTATAATAACCCTGGTTGGCTGCCCATCCCAAACTGATACCCAATAACATAAGCGCCCCTCCACGCACCCCCAGTGCACCCCACCATGCACCCCCCCAGATTGAGTATCTATCTGATGTTTGTGCTTGTGTAGATAATATAGCTGCTCAGTGCACACGTCAACTACATTAAAATTAATGGTCTAATGTAGATAAAATATTCTAGACTGCTATTTGCTATTTAACATGTAATACGATGTGACAATAAACTGATCATCCAGTTTGATTGATCATCAATCAGGTGATGACGGCTGCTAGTTTTCAGTGCTAAAGAATTCTGAATTTTGGAAATGTGCATTAAGGTAAATACACTGATCTGTGTTTGCTTTGACTCCTAATGAAATAATATTTTAAAAATATTTGTTGCACAAAAACTGTAAAAAACTGTAATAAACAGTCCAAATTGTAACATTTAACACCCGTTTTTCTAAATTCCTAAATGGTTAAGATGTTAGCAGAGTTGTTCAGATGGTTTGGTGTGAAATGCTTCATTCTAGATAAACTTAGAAGTCAGAATTGATCACAGTGGTGGTGATAGGAACCAGATGTCCACCTCTAAAAGCTCCCTCACAGAAAGTTATTACGTGAAATGGTTAAGTACACACTGCCTGATGTCTGGGACATTGTTTTATGATAGTTTTGAGAAGATTTTGGCCTTAAAATCCATTCATGGTGGAGGGATACATAATATACAGTGTGTTGTGAGGCAAAAATCGTATTCAAAAAAAACTTCCCATCATCAACATTCCATATAAAACTCAGAAGACAAGTGTAGGTTCACTGGGGGTTTTGGATAGTAAATAAAATGTCTATATTTGTGTTGAAGTCATCATGACCCCTGGTTCCTATCACCACCACTGTAAAGAAATCTGAACCATTTCACACCAAACCACTCTGTTTACATCTCACACACTTCATTATGGTGGAAATTTAGAAAAAAATTCTGCAGAATTACCCTTTAAAGTGGCCACATGGTGACAGCAGAGCTCACATTTGTTGTTCTCTAGACTCTGAGTTTGAATAGAGCTGCAGTGTTATTGTTCCTTCTTCAGTTATGTAATAAAAATCAATAACACTTCTGTCTCGGGTTAAAGAGCAGAAATCTATTGGGGGGGGTGCAGGGTCTATGCATGCAATATTACAGTAATATTACAGTAATACCATTTAGAACAGAGGATGCAGCCACTGGTTGGAGGCCTGTAATTAAACTTGAGCAGAATAAAGACTATTTCTATCATAAATCAG